AGTGGCACAAAAGTGCGTGCACCAAATCACAAATCGCGTGAAGTGAAATGTAAACAAGACTATATCATTGGCTCGTTGCTTTCTGTATGTTTTTAGCAAGTTAAACATATTTGGCATATCAACTGCTATCACTGCTAAAAACTAAAAGCTTTTATTCAGATATCCAAGGCCGAGATCCAGGGCCAAGCTTACTGGGATATACCGGAATAAGATGCAAAACTATATAACATTGGTAAAGGTATATAGCCGATTTTTCTTTTTTAAGCTACCTCGTGGCCGCGTGAGTACAGTTCCTCCAGGATCTGACGCATGTTCATGTACTGTGAACCTCCAACAACGTGAAAACCAGCGATTCGGGAAGTTAAAACGGGGCTGACGAACAAGGTTAGCATGTAGAGCAACATTAACATGAAAGCCATATTGATTATGTTGACCATGTCACGATTCGCCACGCTTATATTTATTGGGTTTCGTGCCCAGTCTTATTCAAAACAGCAGCGTGTTGTGAGACCACTAGGGCAAGTCGTTTAAGCTAGCGGTGTCACAGTGATATGGGTATCCTCATTCCCAGAACCCTATTGATATGGGCATCCCATGTAACCCTTACCCAAATCGCTAAGGTAATATGAGGAGGGGATGCCTATATCCCTAGGGTTTTGGGAATGGCCGGATGCCCAGGCCATATCACTGTAACAACAGCGGAGGGGTTTGGGAAGGGGGGAGTGTCTACCGGTAGGACCCCGGGGGCTGCTCGTCAAAGTTTTATAAGGGGAGGCTCCGTTCTGAGGTCCAAACCCGAACCCTTTTATAGACTATTTTAGGTACCCCTTTCGTCACTTGTCTTTAAAATATGACAGTATGAAAAGGAAAGGAGCCCACTCTGAGCCCAATGTGGGGCTAAGCGCCGTTTATCCGACTCGGCACCCAGCTCGTTCCCAGAGCCTGCAATCCTTTTGATCAGCACCAAAGATCAGGACAATGATAACAAAGACTCTGGGGACGAGACTGACTAGGTACTCCTGACTCGTCCCCAGCCTTCTNAACCCTATTGATATGGGCATCCCATGTAACCCTTACCCAAATCGCTAAGGTAATATGAGGAGGGGATGCCTATATCCCTAGGGTTTTGGGAATGGCCGGATGCCCAGGCCATATCACTGTAACAACAGCGGAGGGGTTTGGGAAGGGGGGAGTGTCTACCGGTAGGACCCCGGGGGCTGCTCGTCAAAGTTTTATAAGGGGAGGCTCCGTTCTGAGGTCCAAACCCGAACCCTTTTATAGACTATTTTAGGTACCCCTTTCGTCACTTGTCTTTAAAATATGACAGTATGAAAAGGAAAGGAGCCCACTCTGAGCCCAATGTGGGGCTAAGCGCCGTTTATCCGACTCGGCACCCAGCTCGTTCCCAGAGCCTGCAATCCTTTTGATCAGCACCAAAGATCAGGACAATGATAACAAAGACTCTGGGGACGAGACTGACTAGGTACTCCTGACTCGTCCCCAGCCTTCTTCGCGTAACGCGCCAGGCCGTGCAACACTATGGAGGGGTTGTGAAAGACGACTGGGGAGCAGTCAGTAGGTACTCTGCTCAAGGCAAATACGTTCAATACTCTTTAAAGAGGTCAGTTCCACATATAAATGTTGTCTTTGTACTTTGAGGCGCAAAGTATTCAAAGTCCATTTTCTAGTTTTCAACTGCACTATACACAAAACAAAAGACGCATTTTAAGGTTTGGCTGAGCTTTTGTTTCTTGTTGTTGGTGGTTTTACTCTTGTTTAATCCTTCTTGGTTTTGTCGCTTCTCCTTTTACAGCACAAACGACATAGGCATGTACAGCTCAACCTGATCACCACGACAACCAAGGTCACCATAGCAACAAGGAAAGCTATAACATCAAGTAGGTAGTACTGATACCAAGGGATGTTAAACACTTGAGCTCTGAGATGCTGAGCTCCACCATGTCTGATCACATACTCTATCCAATCACAGGTCTCTTGAAGAGGGGAGCGTGGACGGTCTTTTAACAGTCTGGAGATACGCATGGCACTCTGCTTGAATCTGAAAAATACAGCCACGCTATAATTCGCCCCATGAAAAGGAATCTGGATTCCCGATTGATTCCGGGAAATTTTGGCTGTGGAATCCGGCTCCTGGACTTTGGAATCCGGAATACAGTTCAAGGAATCCGGAATCCCACTAAGGATTGTAATCCGAAATCTAAGTTCCACTGACAAAGACTGGAATCCAGAATCCAAGACTGTCTTGGATTCCCTTTTTTGGGGGGCGACTATAATGTCATGGAAAGGTTGCAAAACTGGCCTCGTTTGCCGAAATTAGTTTAGGCAAGCATTCACACTTATCATTTTCAGCAAATTTCCCGGTCATAATTGTTGAAAACCTTGCGCATTTCTTCCCCAGCATTCAAACTTCATTTCGAAAGGTTTATGCCCATGTAAGCCTTAATCCACTGAAAGCAACATAAAGGGAAGGATAGGAGAGAAGTGCAACAAGTGTTCTCGGGCAAGAACTCAGAGTATGTATGTACTTATGTTGTGTTTCCGAAAATGTTTCAGCCAATTATGACCGTGATTGCAGAGTCATATTGCCTAAGAAAGAAATATTCCTTGATATTTACGTATAGACACTGGCTGTAAAATAGCCTTAATTTTGAGTTGGTCACAAAACCAAAAGTTCTACAGGCGAGGCTTTGAAGGCGGAGATGGAGACTAGGAGAGAAACGCGTGGTTAGTTTCTAACCTCTCTCGTTTCAAACTGCCGTTGGGAATGTTGGCCTCTAGCAAGCAGCGATTTCGAAAAAAAAATCGACCGTTTTGCGCTTAAAAACACTTATACATATACACACTTATAACAGTGGAAGAAACTGAAACCAGATATCACCTTGGTTCTCTAACGACCAGCTCGATTGTTTCAACAAGTTGTTGGACAGTAGTACCTCTGTGATTAACTGTCAAACCAAGACCAAAATGTTCCGCTTTTCTGGCATTCGCAAACTGATCTGCGAACAATGGAACAGCTACCACAGGAACTCCATGATATGCAGACTCATAAAGACTGTTGTGTCCTACATGAGTCACAAAAGCTTTGATATCCTTGTGACCCAGAAGATCATTCTGAGGTAACCAGTCCACTACTTTAATGTTTGAACCCAGAAATGAAGGTATGTAACCTGAAAGAAATGTTTTATCTGATATTAATATGAAACACAAACTATACCTAACCCCATAAGGTCTTAAGTGAAATTGGCTAATTAAGTGATCCAGAAGCCCCAATTCACTCCCATGGTAATTAACAAGAGATATGTTGAACGTTTCGAAACTTTTGAGTCTGAACATGGTGTAACAATTCAAATGAAAGCTGATGAACAGTACTTTGCTGTGGTACTGTTTATTATGCTGTACAAGGTGGTTCAACATTTGAGTCTGTGGATGAAATCCTATGTTGTGACCATTCAAATCAAAGCTACTGAGCAGTACTTTCCTGTGGTACTGTTTACTATACTGTACAAGGTGGTTCTAACTTTTGAGTCTGTGGATGAAATCCTATGGTGTGGCCATTCAAATGAAAGCTACAGAGCAGTACTTTCCTGTGGTACTGTTTATTATACTGTACAAGGTGGTTCTAACTTTTGAGTC